CCCGCGCCCCGGCAGCGTGGGCGGCCCTCCCCTCGCTCCTCCGCCCCACCCGGCTCTAGCGCCGCTCCATTTATCAAGCGCCCCCCATTCATTTTGCCGGCTCTGCCCCGGGGGCCCCGAGGACGCTGTTGCCGCCCCTATGGCTGATACGCACACTGCCGCCGCCGCCGCGCCGCAGCCGCTGGCGCCACCCCCCGAGAGCCTGGCGCCGCCGCCGCCGTCTGGTCTGCAGGCCCGTGGTGGTTCGCGGACGTGGGGCGGGCTGCGGGTCTAGCTGCGGGCTGTACGCGCAGCAGGACGAAGGGTGGACGGTGCCGGGGGTGGCCTCCGAGGAGTGCGTCAGTCGACACAACGGATCGAACGGTTTGGGTAGCGAGTTGAGGAGATGAACAACACTAGCATCCGCTCTTTACATAGGAGGTTTACCGGAAGTACCGGCGATGGGCGTCGTCTCTATGCAGAGTTTGCGAAACATCAAGGAAGGGATGGAGGGATCATCGTTAGAGATAGTCTCTTTCTGTCTCTCTCACGCACATTAACACACACCTCTCCAGTATATTTCTCTCTCTGTCCCTCTCTTTCGATCTCACTCTGTGCTCCGATGGCGCGTGCGTCGATATGCAATGCAATTGAACCGTGATGGGTGTGATGATGACTATACGCAAGGTGGGCGTGTGCCGCTCGCTGGCTGGGGGGGCGCCCGGAGGGCGTTGCAGTGCGAGACAAAACAGGGACAAAGGAGTGAGTGAGCGAGAGAGCGAGAGAGCGAGAGAGCGAGAGAGCGAGAGAGCGAGAGAGAGACGGGGAGGCACGCGTGTAAGAGGGCCCGGTGCGTCTGCCCATTAGGATACAATAGATCGCTCGAGAGGAGGGCCCAACGCCACGCCGAGCCTCTGCGGGTCACGTGATGACGCAATAATAACAGCCCGGAGGGTAGGCAGCCCGCAGCGCGCCTCGATAAGTAGAGCCTCATGACGCAAACAACGTAATCATGGCTTAATTAGGAAAATAAGCGAGGAGCAGAGGGGAAGGGGGAGGGGGGGCGGACTGGACGCGCCCCTCGGGGACAGCGTCGTCGTGACCCCGGCCGATCGGTACGGCGGAGACCACCACCCTAGACTGTTTCTGTTCCTCTTCCGCCCACGAAAACTATCCGTCTTGTCCAGAGGACAGGAATTGAGAAATGTGTCGATCGGGGAACAGTGTCCACTACTAGTGCCGCAATAATTTTCATCCACAAAACTTTCTGCTGTTTTACCCATTTGATTTGTTCGCAGGCGGGTCCATACCCCAGCAGGAGAGCGCCATGGAGCCGCAGTGGAGGTGGAGGCCGTGGCTGTCCGCCGTGGTCGCCCTGGCCGCCCTGGCCGCCGTCGTGCTGGCGGTAAGTGTAGTATGACCCCTTAGAGGACAGGAGCAGCAGCGAGCCTGGCAGCATAAGGAGCAGGACCCGCGACCCGAAGCTGCTGCGGCCGGCTCACACTAGCATACAGTCCAGCGGCCACGCCCGGGCGCGCTACGCCACTGCAGCGGCGAAGGGCCGAAGGAGGCAATAGGGCCTTATTGCCAAACTGCATCCGTGTATGCGTCCCGTACAATGGGTGGAGAGGGCCGGCGGGCTGGATATCTGGATGAGAGGTCCCCGGATTGCGGGCGCCGCCGCGGCCACTCAATCACTCCGTGCCCCCTCACCCCCCCCCCTCTCAAACACAGGTGGCGATGGCATTATGAGTGTGTTCCATTGTTTTCTCTGAGCGCGCGAGCCGCCGCCGCCGTCGGGCGCGAGAGTATCGAAGAGAGCAGGGGCGGGGCAGGGCAGTGGAGGTGGGCGCAATGTGGTCGCACCAACATTATCGCAACAATTTTCGACCTGAAAAAATTGTTAATGAAAAGGTTGGGGCGCGGCGGCGCCCGAGAAGTGTCGAAAGTACGTACTGCATCTTTGGTACACGGGGCTGTGCTGTATGGGAATCATTATTGCGTGCGTCTTTCTTGCCGGTCCTTCTGTTGTACGTAAAAGAAA